GTAGGTGAAGTTTCACCCTGAGACCAAGGAGTAGGTGAAGTTTCACCCTGAGACCAAGGAGTAGGTGAAGTTTCACCCTGATACCAAGGAGTAGGTGAATTTTCACCTTGAGACCAAGGAGTAGGTGAAGTTTCACTCTGAGACTAAAGGGTTCGTGAAATTTCATTCTGATTGACTGAAAACTGTTCAGAATTGCTGCCTGACACCTGTAACACGAATAATGTTATATTCATGACTGGAATTCGGGGAAGTCGCTAGTTCGAAGCTGTAACCGGAAGTTGACAACGTTAAGATTTTCGTGATATGCCTTTGTCGGTCTAAAGATTTGCTCCCAATCGCTTTCTGTCACATCATTCCCAATTACCGCCATAAACATCATGGCAACTGGCGCCACTTAACCACTCCAGGTAACGCTGTAGGGTTTAGTGATGACTGTGTGGGCCTATGACACCTGCTTTAACAACTATACTGCATGTTGCATGTTGCCCATGCTCCGTATATATATATATATATATATANACGTCTTCTTCCTCGTCTTCTTGTCACTTCTATCCGCTCCTCTATCTTTGCTTCAATAACTTCTTTTAGAAGGCAGTTACTGCGTAAGATATGACCAATCCAATTGGCCTTCCGTTTTCTTATTTCGTGTTGGATATTCCTCTGCTCACTGACTCTAAATAACACTTCTTCATTTCTCATATAATCGGTCCAACCCATCTTCTCATCCTTCTCCAACACCACATTTCGAAAGTGTCAAAGTTTCAGCCCCATACAAAGCCATGCTCCAAATGTAGCATTTCACTAGTTTCTTCCTCAAATTTAAGTCCAATTTGCTGGTAAAAATATTCTTCTTCTTGCTAAATGCAGCTTTTGCCATGGCAATCCTATATATATATTTTTGTTTTGTTTTTCGGACATTGTTTATTGTCTTGTCTTTCATAGTATTCTCGTAATAAACAGCGATTATATCCGAAAATAACATTAACCACTTGGTCTTTGTAATGAAGAAGGAGCGTTTACTGAGAGGTAGGAAACAATTTTTTAAAATATGAGGCTATTTAAATGAAATTCATGCGTCAGCTCATCTGGTTTAATTTAATAAAATTAATGTCCTTGCTTTGGATATCACCAAATCACATTTCCAAATTATAAAACTCTCATTTAATTAGAATATAAAAATTCGACTGCACTCACCTCCAATTATTGCCAAGGTCAGGAATACGTGGATCTATACATCCACTCCTTCATACGTCTTCATGGAATATTGCTTAATTAGTTAAGCACAGGGACACCTTTACCTTTACCCTTGCCTACAGTAATTTACAAAACGTACTAATGTGAACTAAAATTCTTTTATTGAACACGCAGACTACTGAGCATTGTTATAATCCTGAATAAATTCAATATACGAGACTGAGGAGTCAGGCAGTCTGCTTTGTGCATTCCCACGATTTCCTCCCCCCCCCCCCCTTCATGTTTTAGATGTTTAATAAAACTGCCATATGGCACTAGACGACAAGTAGCCTCCTCAGATGATAAAAGGTCTTTAAATAAAAACGCAAACGACAATAAGCTTGTAATATTTTGGATATAAACAATAAATTTCAAATCATGCACCACATTGCAGTGACAGAAATTTGTTCAAGAAATAGTCAATTTGTCACCCCTGTCAGTTCTGGCACAAGAACCTTCGTGATGGCGGTGGGGAGGGGGCGGAATTTGCAAGGCAAAGTGCAACGAATTTCGATGCCCACTGAACGAAATTAACACGAAACGTGCTGAAATCATTCGCCATCATCTGCTCCCAGACGCCCGTTCCGTCTCTTCCCGCGGTCTCTCGGTCAGAGTTTGTTTATTCTGAACCTTCTTTCTATTTTTGTTTACAAATTATTATTTTGCACTGGACTGAAAATGCCTGCAATTCTTGGGTACGTTAATTTAGTGATATTCTGCCCTCCACAGCACGAAGGGATTTCATATCTGTCCATGCAATCTTAAACCCATATTTCTCTCTCTCTCTCTCTTTCAAACTCCGTGAACCTGAACCATGTGAAGGGACAGGGACTGACAGGGTTTCATAACAATGTAATTGAGTTTTCTTTGTTATCTTTTTACATAATGCTCCCTTTACTTTCCTTGCCACTAGAGCCCCAGTGGGCTAGGCCTAATCCATGAACTTCTCCGTTCACTTTGGTTTCTCTAGATCTTGCATATTCGGTAGGACTCCTTGGGCGGGTGATCAGCTCGTCGCAAGGCCTCTACCTGTACACAAACACAGAAAAACGCACACACACAAACTAAACATCCACACCCTGAGTGGGATTCGAACCCACGATCCCGGTTTCCAAGCGAGCGAAGACAGTACATGCCTTAGACCGCTCGGCTACCGTGGCCGGCTTAATGCTCCCTTTATTGTCCTACATATCCTCAGACACTTCGTTGTTTTGTTATGACGTCATCATTATCAAACAAGATGCTGCGTCCCAAATATGGATAATTTCTTCTACTGTATCAACTTGGGAAACTATTTTTTACCTATTGGTATCTTCCCTTGAAATACCATTACCTGTGTTCTCTTACAGGAAATTAAAAAAAAATATATACTTTTAGATATTTACTTAATTTAAAAATGGTAAATGTAAAAAGTTTGATTTGGTCCATCCTGGTCCGTTACACTAGCAATATCTTAAAGGTTAATTAACACCGTCCAGTGTGACTGATAAAATTTTTTTCCTTTTTTAATCTTTCATCCTTGACATGTTTTGGTCTTAGAGACCATCTTGATAACAACACAGCGTACCCCGAACATCGACAGGACGACATAAAAGAATCCTGTCCTCCAAACAAGAGAACCACAAGGTGGTAGACACTCGACTTCCTTCAAAAAGAGGAAATAAAAAAATAAGGTAAGGTTGTCAGCCTTATGGGCCGGCCGCGCTTTACTCCCCAGGAGAATTATTTGATTAATTCCTGGTACTCATTTCTGTTAAGAGGCCGAGTAATGATAGCATTGTATGTATATATTAATATTCACAAAACACACTGTAATAATTGTTTCTGATTGTATTGATATCCTTCTGAAGATGGTCTATAAGACCGAAACATTAAAAAAGAAAAAAAAACATTTTATCGGTCACACTGGACGGTGTTACTTAACCTTTGTAAAAAGGTAAATTTGTCCCTGTGTTTAACTAACTAAGGACTACGCCAAGAAGGTGTATGAGGGAGTGGATGTATAGATCCACGTTCTCTTGACCTCGGCACTAGCTGGTGAGTGGTCAGCCTCACGCCCCAACCGCTTTACCCCCAAGGAAAAGAGCCCCTGGTACCCATTGGATAGGAGGGCTGGCTGAGCCCCAGAGCCGGTCTGGACGAAGTGAAAAAAAGAAAATTCTTGACCCTACCGGGACTCGAACTCCGAACCCTCAGTCGTCCAGCCCGTAGCCAGTTGCTATACCGGCTGAGCTACCCCAGCTCACCGTGTAAAGTTGATTCTTTTTGTAATCGTTTGTATTAGATTTGGCGCGTTTGTTTCTCTTCTCAGTTTTAACTTTTTTGTCAAAAGCAAGGGGGAGCCGATCCCCCAACCTCTCGCCGGTGTCTCTACTAAATTCCGCCAATTCTACAACGGCAGGAGAAGGTCGACTAAACAAACGATTGGGGCACGGAGAAGAAGAAACGACAGATGGCGTGGCGTGAAGTCGGTGTGAAGTTGGTGTGTAGTCGGTGTGAATTCGGTGTGAAGTCCGTGTGTAGTTGGTGTGAAGTCGGTGTGTAGTCGGTGTGAAGTCGGCGTGGACATGGTCCAGCTGGTCCGTCTGTCTTTACTGCACGTGACACTGACAGCATGTACAGAATCCAGCACTTTGAATTTAGCGCCACTTTCGAATATTGAGAGTGGGGGTAAGGCAACTGCACTTTGGGCCAGATTGTAACGCGGTTAAAAAAACAGCATCATCATCATCATCATCATCATCATCTCTCTCCAGCTCTCTTTGCCTCACACCCTCACTCCGTCTCTCTGCGCCCCCTCCCCTTTGTATCTGCCTCTCCCTCCCTCTATCTTTGTCTGTCAGACTATGTCTCTCTCTCCTTTGATCGTTTAATCACCTCTTTCTGTCTCCCTCCTTACCCTTTTCTCGCTTAGAAAAATACTTTGCGGCAACGTTGGGTTCACTTTAGTGACGTAATCTAAAAAAAAAGTTATATATAAAAGAAACAAACCATGATATAAATGTTCTGAGATGGAATTTGATACTGTTTGCTTCTGCGTAGTCGCCTTTTCCTTGAAAGTACTGTTACTTAATATAAAGCGTCCCAACACTTTCTGCCGGGTCCTGTGTGTCTCGCAATTAGAACCCTCTCGCTAATTACACCTGTGTTGACGCTGCGGATATGAGAAAGTCCGCCACCTACGTCAGTTCGCATCTTCACATCATTTCAGAATTCTACTCCGCCTTTCGTGGTCTCCCCCTGTTGCTACAAGTAATCTACATGTTCAGACCATCATAATTTCTTCGATTTTAGTACCGATGCAAATCTGGAAGCTCTCTACACTGCAAGACTCAATTTCTCAACTATCTGGCCGTTTCAGAGGACTCTCGTGTTCACAGTATCACAGTTGGTGCGCTGTATTACCACCAGAAGCTGAGGATATCGAGTCTCGCTACAAATACTGCACAGAGCGCTACTACCTAATTCCAGAACATCGATTCATGGAGGTATAACCACTACATCTGGTGAAGAGGAAATGTTAAGTGCCCAATTTCAGACAACTGGGTCATAACCATTTGATCTGGTGTGGAGGACATGTCAGTACCGAACTCCAGAATAGCAAGTCATGGCAGTAGAGCCTTCACACTGCCTAAATTGAAGTTCAGGTGGATTTGTCGCATGTTCGACATCTGTGGTCTGACCTTAGCCGCATTTTATTAGAGCTGCATGCACAATGAATCGTTTGCTTGGGACGAAGCTGCACTTAGTTGCGAGGCGGTACATACCACTGCAGGTTTGGACAGCCACTGATTGACGTCCTTCCATACGAAGTCCGTTAGGTTCAGCTCCGAAAATTGCGCCTGCGCGGGAAACGGTGACTCCAGAATCCTGTCTGACTTGATGGCAGCCGACTTCGCTGCCGTGTTTTGGTGACGCTTGTGTTGACGCCAGCACGAAGCCAATTCTCGACGCCTGCCGCCGTTCAGGAGCGCTGACCGAAGCACAGCGATGCGTGCCATGTCGGAACACAGTGACAAGTGAGTTGCGTTCCAAACGCGTTTATCTGTAGCCAGCCACTCCCGCCCCCTCCACTCCTCCCTGCAGATCTCTTTGTCTGAGTCTTAGCCTTTCCTCCTGCTCATGTGTTGCCGTCACAAACCCCCAGCAGAATGTGGTTCCATCATTTAAAGTCCACCATTCATACAGGAGGGAAGTCGGAAGGGTGAATCAAAATGAAATCGGGTTTGAGTTCACGGCAGAATCTCTAACGCAACATCCAGACCGGCTCAGTGGCCAACGGTTCAGTGAAGGTATACCTCCCACCTGCCAAACAATTGAACACCGTACCGAAAGACACTATTTGAGGGATCTCGGCACAGATGATAATATTAAGGTGAATTTAACGGTTTCCCATAGATTATTTAACGACGCTTCCCTGTATGCAGACTATATAACGTCCGATGGTAGGATAGCAGAGAAAGATAAACAGGAAAGGATTTTGTAGGAAGTGGAAGTGGCCGAACCGAGGTATTTCCTCTGGGCAAAATTTAAAAAAAAAAAAAACCCTCAGGATATCCAGTGTGCCGGGCGAGAGTCGATTGGAAGCGTCTGCCAACAAAAGTTCGAGAGAATTAGCGCTAGTTTAGCCTTGCGAACACAGATTGCGACATGTAACACGTACTGGCTGGCTCGCGGGAACACCGAGTCGTGCTGTGAGCCCGCTCGCGCGGCCAGTGCCGTAGGTCGGGCGGTGCGAAGTTTAAACTTCAGGATCAGGGGCTTCAAGGGTCGTCAGTACAGTCAGGTTCATCAGACTCTGTCCCTCAACACTTAGGCAGCGTCTACACGAGCGCACGAAATGCGTCCGTTGTAACGAACGTAATTTATGACGGACGTTGCTGAGGATACCACACAGTTGCAGAATGCGGTGCGTAGTTTTTTGTCTACAATGGAGCCAGAAGAAAGCGTACTATTCGCCTCTCTTGTTTATTTTTACAACGGACGTCAGGACGTTGGTTAGAACGGACGCAAGTTTTATCTGTGGTTGCCCTGAGAACAACTTTTGGACACAAGACGGAGGAAGTAACAAGAAACTGGAGAATTGCATGATACATAGCCCTCTCCAAGTATTACGAGTATTGGGGGTGACCAAATTAAGGGGGACGAGTCGGGCGAGACATCTCGCACGTATGAGAGAGAACATAATTGCTTACAAAGTCTTGGTTGGAAAACCTGAAGGAAAGAGCCCGTTTAGAAGATAGAGACATAGATAGGAGGATGGCATTAAAAAAGGTAGAAAGGTAAAGTTGTCCCAGTGCTTAACTAATTAAACACTACTTCGGCACTAGTTGAAGGTGAGTTGTTAGATTCACGCTCTGGGCGCTTTACCCCCAAGGAAAGAGCCCCCGGTAGCCATTATATAGGAGGCTGGGTAGGCCCCAGAGCGGGTCTGGACGACGTTGATAAGAGAAAATACTTGACCCTACCGGGACTCGAACACCAACTTTTCTGTCGTCCAACCCGTAGCCAGTCGCCATATGGACTGAGGTAAAAAGTAAAATGATAAAATATCAGAATAAATGTAGTACTGTACAAGCGTCAACACAACAAATTCGCAACAAACAAACTAATATTGCTGCATTAATATTTGTTGATCCCGTACAACCACCACGAGGTAACTCACGAAATGTACCATTCGTCATCGAGTTGCACCTCCTGTGTGGATCCACAGCAGTGATCACCAACATAAACATCGGTCCGAAAATGTAAAACGCTATAACGCAGTCGAAAGTCAAAAATTAAATAAAAAATTCGTCCTTGCTTATTTGAGCGCGAAGCACAAATCTCAGACGCTGCATCGCAGAGCAGAGAGGCCCTCCGGGAACCCACGGCGTTCTGCAATTCTCTGTGCACACACCACATGGTGGCCGTTCGCATGCAAATGGCGCATGCGCCATCTTTCATTGACCTTATTATAATATTTGAGACTGTACACTGGATAAACTTGTCTCAGGATAGAAATCGGTGATGGGCTGTTATGAAAATGGTAATTAACATAAGAATCCCTTAAATGTGGGGAATTTCTTGATAAAATGATCAAGAAGAACTCTTCTTCATTCAGTTTGTTTCTGGGTGACATTCAGTAATGCTGGGACATTTCGCGGGTTTGAAGACTAGTTCCCCTAGTCAATCTTACTGTCAAAACGGAATGAAACACAAGGTGACATGGCAGAAACTTTAAATGACTCAAGATTACGGTTTTCTGGGATATGATACCGTGTAATTTCGTAGATAACTACCAACGTTTCGCATGAAACAACTGCCTCCCTCTTCACTGAAGAAGAATGGATCATTCCATTCCTTTCAGGAGTCACCCAGCATTACATTGTCACCCAACGTGTCATATGATGTATCTTTATGTAAGAGCAGGTCAAGTATTTGTAACTTGAATATGGAATGTTTAATATTGTAATATGTAAATCTGAAAGAATATAAAGACCGCAAGAGAAAAAACGTTGAGGGGCCCATTTATTACCCATGCATTTTTTTTTCAAATGCTGAGTTGCCATCGAAGAAACAAACGATATTACTTTTTAAATATGAGCGCCATCTTGTCAGAAATTCTCAGATATCTTTGAGACTGTTTCGTACCTTGTGCAGTCAGCCTCACAGAAGAGTGCTGACGGATTATCCTTCATAAGAAAAGCAAAGCTCTCCCTGTGCTTAACTAATTAAGCACTACGCTATGAAGACGTATGGTCACCACTAGTGAGGTGAGTGGCCAGCTTTACGCCCCGTCCGCTTTATCTCCGGGGAAAAGCCTCCGGGTACCCATTGAATAGGAGGTTGGTGAGCCCCCAGAGCCGGTCTGGACGAAGTGGAGGAGGGAAAATTCTTGCCCTTATCCGGACTTGAAACTCCGACCCCTCGGCCGTCGAGCCCGTAGCCCGCCGCTGTACCGACTGAGCTATCCCAGCTCACCGGATTATCCTTCATAGGTGTCACAATTTATAACCAACCTCCGCGATATCAGCAACACATTTACGTCTGCAAATAATACAGAAGCGGAAATGTTTTCAGCAGAGGTTTATGCATTCGTTAACAGGAAATGCAAGGATAACCTAACAATTATGACTTCTTCGCCGCCTGTTCTGTAATTATATAAATAAAACTGTAGACCTACGAAAAGAATGTACTGGGAATAAAGTGTGTTTCTTTCCTCCTCAACTTTCGTTCGAAATATTTTTTACTTGATGAACGTAGTGAATAGTGAGCAATTGGTGGAATGAGGATTGGCAGGGGAAACCGAAGTACTCGGAGAAAACGTGCCCCAGCGCCACTTTGTCCACCACAAATCCCACTTGACCAGACCCCGGGATCGAACCCGGGCCGCCGCGGTGGGAAGCCAGCGACTAACCGCTTGAGTTATGACGCGGCCAACAGTCTAACTAACTAACTAACTAACTAACTAATCAGCTTATGTGATGTCAGGTCAGGGTTAACGACGTCCTACTGGAGCGCGTAGTCGCGGTGGCGGGCTGCCAGCAAGCTGGGCACCGGTAAGGCGTCCAGGCCATTCCCCACTCCCAGACTGAGGCGCGGGGCCCCACGATACCACCAGGCACACGGCAGAGTCGAAAGGGCTCAGGTGGACATCACTGCTTGGACAGCCCTTCCGTACCTTCAGTACAACAAATGTAGTCTTTGCATGGCAAGTAAACACTGTATGACATTGTGACTGCCAGATGTTGAAAGGTAAAGCTCTCCCTGTAACAGGCCGTGAAGACCCATAGGGTTGTGAGACGTCGAGGCCCTCACATATTCTCTAGACTGTCGCCTCACAGATGGCGGTAAGTTTGTCAGCCTTACGCGCCGACCGCTTTTTACCCCTGGGAATATTCCTGCTACTCATTTCTGCTTGAGGTTAAGTCGACCGCAGGACAATAGTGTGTCTGGAAGGAGTGGGTAAATTGAAAAAATCCACCTCATCGGTATTCGATCCCGCGACCTTCCAGCTTGTAGCATAGTGTCTCAACCAACTACGCTACTGCTTGCACCCTTGTAACTGCCAGATGTTACCGTACGTAAATTACGGACTTACACCCCACGAGGGTCAAGTGTCGAAAAAGTCGCGAACTTTACACAGTTTGTTATATCTGATATCATGTGACATCGGCTGAGAGTTTGCTAACTGTGTAGTCAGGAAATATTTTGCGATTTGCCCTGTATGTGGAGTTCTATTTCGTATTAGCCCCTGTGTTATCTCTCGTATTCGGCAGAAATTACTGAGGCTGTCAGAGCGCAATGGCTGTTACATGCCAACAACCTCGATGCGTCAGTTGGATAAAGAACTCAGAAGAACCAATACACAGGAACAATAACATCACAAGCTAAGGACCAACCTACGAATGGAAGTGCGTCGATGGATATGCAAGTGGGAGGACCTTGACACTCCTCCTTGTCATTAAATGCAACAGTGAAATAAAGCCCAGTGCAGTCGTCGCTACTTACGTATAATTGCACTGAAACATGCAGAACAATTGCGTTACAGTAATTTGAGCTTCATAATTATATATATACATATATATAATAAATGAAACCAAAATCTTCTAATATCTTGAGGTCGTTCCACAACTCAGGCCGGCTTCTCACTTCGGCGGCTCGGGTTCGATCCCAAGTCAAGTCATGTGGGATTTGTGGTGGACAAATTGCCTCTCCTCCGAGTACGTCATCTTCCCCTGCCAATTCTCATTCCATCGAATGCTCCATACGCACATCTCATCAGGCACTGGTACAAAGTGGACTGTGTCACACCTCCCCAAGGGGGCAAGGGGGGAAAGAACTTAGGGCTAGCAGTTTGCCCAAATGGAACGCGCCATGGCTTCGAGATGACCCATAAGTTTGAAACCGACTGCTGAAATGAAATGTTGCATGTAATTCTGTATACAGGTTATGTGGGCGGTCCGTGGTACAGTTGGAATTTCAGCGGAACCTTGTTGTGGCTACGAACATCATGTTTTACTGAACACGCACGCTATGAACTAAAAATTTA